GCCGAGGTGATGACCTTTTAAGTGCTGAAATATCGATGAAGCTAGTGTAAATCGTATGTGCACCTGCGTTCATGACTTTCTTTAGAAGTATCGTATTTAAAAGTAAGGTTATGTAGAAAATATTTCATACATTATGCTGAAAACTCGACTTGAATGCCCCGCGCCGCTAAGCGACGGTAAGAACTTTTATCGACAAGATGCTGACTTTTTATCGGAAGGTTTGTTTCAATATTTTTGAGAAATAGACAACGGTATTGTTCGTCTTATGTGCTGGATTTTTCAATTGCTAATTCAAAAGCTATTTAATTAACAACAATGAGAGGGATATATTATATATATTATTGTTATTACATTTAATTTTTTATTTAATATTTTAATTTAAGTAAATTGGCAGTTTTAGTAATTGAAAAACATGTACTGAGAATCTATTAATACACATTTTTAATTACAATAGTAATTGGTTTTTCGATTATAAAATCATATTCATAATAAGGTTTAGTAATGTCAAAATCTATTCTGATAGAAAAAATATTTATTTAAATAGTTATAAATTTTATGTTTAAAATAAAAAGATATTTTTCTATATTTCTTAATTAAAAGTGTGTTGTAATAATCATTGGATCTAACATATATTTCTTAATAAAACTTTATTTAGTCAATATAGAATTTATTAGGAAATAATTAGCAAATTGTATTTAAATTAAATAATTATTTCAATAAAAAAAAATCTATATTTATATATATATCTTTAATTATAAATACATTTAGTATTTGTCCAGTCTGACGCAACTACTTATCTAGTTTTTGTGAATTACTGATATTTTGTACTAGTTTAAAATTAAATTTGAAAAATAGTAATTACTATATAAGATATTTAATATGTTATAAAATGCTTATTTTAATTAATAAGAAATAAGTAAAATGTAAAAAAATAATTTAATATTTTAAGATTATTTATTACAAATGAATTATAAAATTATTGTTAATTTTTATTTGAATTTTTTATAAAACTGTTCAATTCAGTATAGTTTTAATGGAAAAAACATGTATATTATTTTTAAATATTTTATATATAGGGCAGTAGCATGCGTCATTTGTTTAGTAAAAAAGAAATGAATGTTATATGTACTGTAATTTTTAATATTTTATTAATAACATAATTAATGTGCCGTACTTTCCTTTAAACAGTAGCATAGCGTTCATGTGATTTGAAATATATTTGTACTAAATGAGATATTGCTGGATTACTTAAAAGGAACAGTTCCATTTACAGAATATTTGTTAAACTATTTATTTTTTCATTAATAGAAATTTTTATATAATAATCATTTTTAATAATCCAAGATTATAAAATATATATTTTTCCTTACTATCAAATATTTATATTTTTATTTTAGTTAAAATATGAATTTTAGCTAAAAATTTGCATGCATATAATATAAATTTAGGTTTAATGTAGATAAACGTATAATTTTTATTTAAAAATGTATTTTATTATTCTTATATTCAGTTTCATTAAAAGTTATTTTTATTCATTTATTATTTAAATACATACGAAATTATTTAATTAATCCTATATAACAAGGATGAATCAACAAATTAAAATCATTGTACAATTATTCAATCAACAAATGAAAATCATTGTAATATTAAAAATTTTAATTGTAAATAAATTTAGGATATTACCGTTAGTTATTTATTTTTAAAACTCGTTAATATTGATTAAATTTAGTTAACTCTACTTTTTTAAGATCAAATGAATTTTTATGGCCAAAAAGAGTATAGATCTTAATTATTTACTATATTTTTGTTTTCATTTCAAATATTTATTACAAGTATGTTTATTCGTTTATTTTTACTTTCAATATTATTAGATAAAAGTGCAATATAATTATTATTGAATTAAAAATCGTTAATCTGTTTATAATGATGATTTTAAATTATTTGTGAAAGTTTCCTTGCTAATGGGAAGCTAATGAAAGATAGATGGAGATAGGCAAAAAGAGCGCTATTCATATATATGTAAATAATACAATTTAAAATGAAATAAGACTTGTGTACCCTAATTTCATGTTCTTTATTCGACAAACAAACTTTTTAAAAAAGCTATATGTATATATAGGCTTTGGATATTGTAAAATTTATCAATCACATATGATCTTGTAAACTGATTATTATGTTACAAATTAGTCATCAAATTAAATGTGCGTACATGTATATAAATGCATAAATGAATAAATCGAGACTTACTTGTAAATTATTGTATTTATTATTAAAAGTTGAATATATATAGTAAACGATTTTACTTTAGAGATGAAATTAATTTTTTTTTTATTTTGCATCGGATGTATAAAAATATATTAAAATAATGTATTTCTCGTCATTCGGTAGTTTTGATAAAGGGTTCGGTTAAGTATTAAAGATGTGTAGGTATCAATTTGTTTTTTATTAAGTTATTTGAATATTTCTATAATACCAAAGTAGCATAAATTCTATTTGAGTTGATAAATATTTAAATTACTTTAGAAACGAATAAAATGTTGAAAGAAAATATCTTTGAATAAAAGTGTAATAAATAATTATCAAAACATGTTATATATTTCTTTTTTCAAGACATCAAGGCAATATAAATATGTTTAGAGAAATGTTCATTATTAAATTAATATCATAACACGAAGGAAAAGATTTTCGGCATATCGACAATTCTTCCATGACGCTGTAATTTTGTAGTGAATATATTGATTTTTATATGTCATATATCATATTTTTATATAATATTTATAATTTTTAAATTTATATATTGATTTATGCTAAAATTAAAAATACAATTGAATTCAACTACCTTTAATTTATTGTAACGGAAAATTATACATTTTAAGAATTAATATTAGTATTAAAAGCTTAATTCTATTAATAGAAATGAAAATGTATAAAATTAATAATTACAATAAAAATACAATCGTCAGATTTTATCAAAAGCCATAAAATTAAAAATAATTTATTTAAATAATTTATATAAATAATGTATTTATATTTTAACCATAAGTAGTAAGATTACTAAATTTCATATATTTATGTATAAAAGGTGCACAAATTGTTATATATTGGTTACAATAAAAAATTATTTGTTAAAATTATTAATACTGATATAACAATTCTCACCATTTGGGTTGTCTCAAAAAATATATATTTTAACGATAAAAATATTTTTTTCAATTATCATAATGAATAACTGTAATAATAAAATGAAAAGGGATTTTTTAATTATTTGAATCAATATCGCTTAAATTATGGAATTTATTTATCGTTGGTTTAATAATTTAATACCGTAAATTAGATTTAGAAAATAACTTCACAACAGATTGTGTATACAAATTTGATCTGCAAAGCATTACATCGGTTAAATCATAAAACTTTGATATATAATTTGATATATAATTGTTATATAATTGATATATAATTGATATATAATTTTTGGTATTCTTTTAAAATTGAATGTTTTCGCTTTAGCTGTAGTAAATTTTTCTAATTTTTAATTTGTAATTTTTTTCATTCATTTTTATCAAGAAGATATATTTATTATTTCTGTACAATTAATATTTATTATTTATAATGTTTCATTGGAAAAATTTGTTTGATATATTGTACGAAATTTTTTGTTATTTTCCTTCGGTTTCTTATAATAAACCCATAAATTATATTTCGAGATTAATTTGTGTAATAGTTTATTGTAATATACATGCAGATATTTAAGTATATGGTTGCCTTGTACATAGTTTCTAGTAAATTTATCTTTTTTTTTATCTTTAATATATACTAGATTGTGAAAAAATTCAATTACACAATATTTTAAAAATTAATTGATTATATTCTTTATATTTACTGCATTTCACTTTTGTAATATTGACTTAAATAAAAGTATTCCTACGTTTTACTCATTATAACCAAATTAAGAAAATAATATTTGTGTTCATCATTTAATTAATTAGTCGATAAGTTGTATAAAATAGAATGCATTTTTATTTAGCGATATGTAAATTCTCATTATGAAATAAATATATAAAAAAGTATAAATAGCTAATATACTTTTGTCGATTTATTGTTATAGTATACACCATCGGAGCAGAGGAAGAATAGTTCGCCGCATGGGTGCCTGGGCTGACGATCCTGTTGCGGAGGAGGTGGTGGAGTCGGTGGAACTATGGTCATTTAGATCTGTCTTTGGCTTAAGATTTACGTGGCAGCAACAGCAGCCCCGAAGGAGAAAGCAGAGAAGATCATTGACAACAACGACCAAGAAATTCTGCGATGCTGGCGGCGGCTCTAGTAGAGATAAACGTGTCATACTCTTGTACTCATCATTGTTGCCATTACGTCGGCAATTTACCAGACAACTTTACGAGTGGCCCATATTACCATTATTTAAATCAAGGACGAAATTAATCCGTCAACAAGAGCAATATTAAATTTTTTATGTTCTATAATTTTCTATTATTATTTATTTTTTAATTTACGCTAAATTTTTTTATTATAATTTGTTTTGATTTACGTAAGGTTTAAAAGTGAAAGTGTTACGTGCACGAGGCATTTTTAAAACATATAGAAGTAACGTTTATTTGTTAAAAAGAGAGTGTGACAAAGTGGTCGAAATTATAAAAGAACACGAAATTTATTGTATTTTTGATTTAATATATAAGGTAAAAAATTCATCAATTAACTATATGAAAGAATTGAAAAGTACTACGTAATTTTCTATCAGATGGCTAATTGGACTAAATTTAATAGTGAGCGCATAGACTCCAAACTTGTAGGCGTTGATAAAATAGACATTATATCGTTTGAAAAGTCTCTTGTTACAGTTTCTACCATCGATGAAAATGCAACAAATACTACCCGAAAGATTTTTATGCGTCAGAAATCACATGAATCTCTAAAAAACGATGACACTGCAATTATCAGGCAATCTTTAGTCGATTGTGACAACGATGATTTTATGAATATTCTTGAAAATCATGAAAGTTTAATACTAATTAATGAATTGAATTACGAAAATCATTTAGCGCACGTGGAGAATAAAATTGTTAGCGACTTAGAGTGTGGCACAATTATTAATGAATCTAATAATATATTCCGTTACAATACTGATAATCAAAATTATGGTTCTAAAAATCAGAATGACGTGAAACAAGAATTATTTCAAGATAATCAACATCAAGCACCGCGAAGATCTAGTAGTAAATATAAAGATGGTAATACACTAAACTCCCAGAAACTGAAGAATATTTTCAACAATGATAAAGATGGATCATTTGAATGTGCAAAATCTAAAAAAAAAAATTTAGTTATTAACAAAGATAGTACAAAAAAATTAGTAAACAGTAGCCACAAATCATCCTGCTCTCACGTCAAGCAAGTGCAGCATCATGTACAGTTCAACCATAAACTAATTGAAGGAAACAAACTTCCTCATAAGAATAACGATGGTTTGGAAAAATTAAGAGTAAGTTCATCAATCTCGACATCATCATCCTCTAGTTCTGAGGACAACAGCAGTTTAGGACATTTGTCAGAAGCGAGACCACCCGACGGTGGCTGGGGTTGGGTCATTGTTGCAGCTTCCTTCATGGTCAATTTGATTGCTGATGGTATTACTTTTTCATTTGGTGTTATCTATCATGAGTTTCTTAATTATTTTGGTGAGGGTAAAGCTACAACATCATGGATTGGTTCACTTTTCATGGCGATGCCTCTTCTATCTGGCCCAATAGCAAGCTTTTTAACGGATCGATATGGATGTCGAAAGGTTACCATAGCAGGGAGTGTATTAGCCACTACAGGTTTTGTCATCAGCTACTTTGCCAATAGTATGGGAGTCCTAATATTGACTTTTGGTGTATTGGCTGGATTTGGATTGTCACTTTGTTTTGTAGCAGCTGTTGTCATAGTTGCTTATTACTTTGATAAAAGAAGATCTTTTGCAACAGGATTATCAGTCTGTGGTAGCGGAATAGGTACCTTCATATTTCCACCTCTTATTCAGAAATTATTGAATGAGTATGGATGGAGAGGTACAACTTTGATATTGGCGGGGTTATTTTTGAATTTAGCGATCTGTGGTTGTCTGATGAGAGATCTTGAGTGGACAACAATAAGAGCTAGAGTTAAGACGGAAGAACGACGAAGAAATCGTGAAAAAAAAAGGCTTAAAGTACAAAGTTCAAGCGCAGATTCTTTTTCAGCGAATAGTTCTATAAACGCTGCACAAACGATGAATGGAGATTCAAAACGTGCTTTTGCCTCGGCCAACGCAATGATTATTGAAAGTCTGAAGCTTCAAGACGAACATGAAGGAGATAAATTATTTTCTAGTCTCGTTAGTCTACCGACATTTGTAAAAAATGGAGAGAAAGTACCATTGGAGGTATTGGAACTATTGAGTACCAAAAAGAACGTGTATAATGTATTGTTGCAAAATTATCCAAGTTTATTGATTTCATCAAAAAGTTTTAGTGACTCAGGTGGGCTTCATGATCAGATAAATAAATCAACAGCAAGATTTATATCTGTTGCCAGTCCACTAGTAAATCAAGATAAAAACAAAGTAAATAATGATTCGTTACCGTTTCGAGAAGTAGATGATCGAACAGAACTCGATTGTCAGGTAAAATATTTCTTTATGATCTTGAAATGTTAATATTCATTCATTTATACGAAAACATATGAGTTAACCTTGACAAGAGATTCACAGTAGGTAATCAAAAATATCGATTGTTTTGAAATTAAAAAATTTGTATTTTTCAATTTTTTGAATATTTGAATAAATACAATTATTTTTATGATAATTTTAAATATGTTCTTAATATAATCTAAACAAGCTCACAAAATATAAAATTAGTATATTAAAATATACTCTTCTATTTTAGTGTGATACCAAACTCTCACAAAACTTAAATTTCCAATCTTTTGATTCAATTCAAACTAAATAACTATGGAGTATTTTTCATATTTGTATTTAATAAAATAGGCTAAAATCTCGTTTCAAATTTATGTAATAAAAATGTTTGTTGTTCTTAATAATTGTTATAAATGATATAGATTATTAGCATAATAAATTCTCTACTATTTTTATTTAACAACTAAATAACAATTTTACACAGAATTGGTGGCTGAAAAAACCTAATCCAGATACGCAGTTTCGACGGGCAAGTGCATTAGAGCATCCCAGAAGATTGCCCACAGCTTATCTTAAGGATATTCGCGTACATAGACATAGTTTGACATACCGTGGTGCCATGTTAAACATTAATAGATACAGACTACGTGCAAGCAGCTGTCCGGATATATATCGAAATTCAATGACAACCATTGCCAAACAGAAAATGATTTGGTACGCTGGACTTTGGGAATTCTGGGACCTACTAGTGGACATGCTAGATTTCTCTCATTTTTCTGACTCTCGTTTTCTACTGTTTTCAATCAGTAACTTTCTATTGCACACATGGTATGACGTGCCTTACATGTACCTCACTGATAATGCTATCGAAATGGGATTCAGTGATACGAATGCTTCCTACCTCATTTCTGTTATTGGCATCATGAACATGGCTGGCGAGGTCAGTCTAATTTTTATTAATCTATATATATATACTTTTAATTAAACATTACCACTAGTCGTATTTGTATGTGCCAAACATAAAAATTAAATCTCGTCAACTATCTTCCGAAGGTTTATAATTACATTATTAAAACAATTAATTAAAAAAAATAAACCGTTTTTCAAATTTGTTAATATGAATTTAAATTAAATTTAAAGATACATAATATTTCGTATACATTTTTCAAACTAAAAATAATCTAAATAGTATATTTGCAAATAAAATTGTATATATTTCATTAGCATAAATGAACTTATACTTTTACTTTAAACATATTTATCAGTCGTTGATTATGATTGAATTTTTATCAAAATTTATGTTTTTCAATAAATATGTATTATAGTAATTTATTTTTGTTTATATTCTTTTATAAATTTACATATTAGAAATGTACATTTTCAATAATAATTGATGATCATATTTTCATAGCCAATATTTAATCGATGATTGAATAATAAAGATTTTTAAATTATATAAATTTATACTTTCAAATAAAATTTCCGCTATTAAATCAGAAATCTTAACATACATAATTTATTTACTACATTAGTTCAAATAGCAAAAATAAACTCAATTGTGAAAATATCTGTTAAAATAAATGCAACAAATGAAAATTATTTTTTTTTGTAGTAATTTGTTAAACATTATTTATTTCACAATATATTGTAGATCGTGATAAGAATTGTATAAAATTAAATCCAGAATATAATTGTTTACTGTTTTTATAACTGAAAATGATGCCTCATGAGAAAAGTAATAAATTGTTAAATGTACAATACGTTTTTCCATTTCGTTTTATTTCTTTGAGTCGTTGATAATAATCTTTCTTTACTTTACCTTAAATGTTGATAGAACACTAAAAAAGCGTCATGTTCTAAAAAGATTAAAAAGCTTTAATAAATAATGTCTTTAAATTGTTATCGCTAGTAATTAATCGGTTATTTATTGGTCTATTATGTATAATTAGTGTATATTGTATGCTTAATATCTTCTACTTTTGTATGTCTTAAGGATCTTTTAAAACGTTATTTTATATTACTTTAAATTTAATCTGATAATAGTTAATTTATTTTTCAGTATATCGTAAATTTATTTTATACATTTTATACATTTAAAAAATTTATTAATTGAGAATAAAGCATAATTTGGAGCAAATATTTAAAGAAATATTAATATGTATTTTGCAAAATAATTTTGTTTGTTAACAAAAATTATAAAATCATTAAAATACTTAACACAATGAAAAAATAATAATAAAACTGCAATTATTTTTACAATAATTATAGTAAAAGGGGAAAAATGTATTAGAGAAATATGAATAATATTTTAATTATATATATTATAACATTAATTATTAATTATTAATTATTAAAAGAAAATGTATTGATCATAAAGTCTTCATTTTCTTACGAAATCAATTATCAGATTAAGAGTGTTTAAAAATTATATTAGCTGTTATAATTATTTATATAGTTATAAGTATATTGTTAAATAAAATTTTAAACTTTAAATTTTCATAGCCATTAATAATTTAATTAATGACTTTTATTAATGATACAATTTTTTATTTAAACTTAATAGTTATATGATCGAGCATTTTATTTATTTAAAAAAATGAGTTTAGATTAATCAATTGCATATATAAAAAATATTAAATATTATAAAATCTTAAGAAAAATGAAAAGTAGAAAAGTTATTTCTGATTTTATATCATAAAAATTGCATGCCTATAAAATTCTTTTAGAATATTAATGCTATTTTTATAAAAAGAAATAAATAAAATATAAAAATACAAATATTTCGCTATATAATTTACAGACAATAAAATTATTACATAGTTTGTAATTATTCTTTTACTGTAGGTAAGACATATTAACTTAGTAAAAATTATCAAAATATTTACTAAAAGTAAACAACAAGCAGGACATCAATAAATAAAGAGAATAAGAGTTTGAATCACAATCGTTCTTGATTCACAGATCCTTTTAGGATGGGCGGGTGATCGAGCGTGGGTGAACGCATCGATGGTGTATGCAGTATGTATGGCACTGTGTGGGATCTTTACCGCACTGATACCGTTGACAATCAAATGCTACTATATGCTGAGCGCAATTGCGGGTGCCTTTGGCTTTTTTATCGCCGCCAACTACAGTCTCACCAGCATCATCCTCGTCGAGGCTATTACTCTGGACCGATTCACTAATGCTTATGGACTATTACTTCTCGTGCAAGGCATAGCTAATCTTATGGGTCCGCCTCTCGCAGGTAAATTTTTTAAACATCAAATTGTTAAAGATGTTTGATTATAATTCTTATTGATTAACTTCAAAATAAATTTTAGGAAAGAATTTATCGTGGTTTGTTATGTTTATTGATCGACATCAGATATAGTAATATTTCTATTTAATGAATTAAACTTATAAATGAAATCTTAATTATACTAATCTATTTAGATTTATAGATGTGCTTTATATCCTATTTTTTATGTAATAAAAAGTTATAAATTTTTATTATCATTAAAAAAAAAGAATTTGAATGTTTTGTAGTATAAATATGATACAATATTTCAATCACACATAGCTTTGATTTATTCAAGAAATCAATTTGAAAAATAAGTGTTTTTAATATTAAAATAATTTTCTAATAATTAAAATATCATTCAAGATAAATCATATATAAGTAATATCGACAGATGATTAATTTTAAACTTATTTTTAATCAAAGCTGTTTGTTGATTTTTAAAATTTATTCTTAATAAAAATCCACACTATGCAAGGATAAATGAGTGAAAGTTTGTGCAAGAGATTTAAAAATGGTTTTAGTATGAAATGAACGTGCATAATTAATAAAACAAAATTAATATTAATAAATTTACCTTTATTAATTGGATTTAAACAAAATTTTTATATGTGTTTATTAAAATAAATTTGTACAATACTATTATAATAGTAACTTTTGTTATGGTAATATTTTGTATTTAGATGCATGAGTATATCTATATTCACGTGCAAGCATAATGTGTAGTGCTGTAAATATTAATTTTGTAAAAGGTACTTATTTATATTGGTTATATAGATATTTACTATTTGCTAGTATATGAGTAAATTTATAAAATATCAAATCTAATTTCATTAATTTTTTATTAATAATTATAAGATTCTCGTAGTTTAACAAATTAAATTTGCAAAAATTTATACTGATCAAAAACTTGTTTAAAATATTTCACATGATATAATACAGAATAGATGTTATTTTTCTCAATTTCTGCTTTTAGAACTAATAACTAAAATAATAATAATATAAAACTGAAATTATTAAATGTCCTTCGAATATAAGGATGATAATTAATATTTTCATAATAAATTAGTATACAGGGTTCTGTACAAAAATCTGTACAAATTTTTTTGTATTAACACATTTATATTAATATATATGTGTGTGAAACGAATGGAATAAATAGAGGGAGCATACAAACAGTTAGACTGAGTTCATAAGAACGAATTGAGATATCAAACAATTGTACTTTTGCTTTCGGTTTTCGAGTTGAATGATACACATCATACTTACAAAGCCAATAAACACTACAAAATGGAGTGATAAATAATCAACTTTTTTTTAACCAAAAAAATCCAACTACTTTCACTGTAAAATGTATTAAGATCTGACTACGTTTATAAGTCCTAAAAATGCATGTATTTATTTCCAACTAATCATTTATTTGATAGTGCATTTAAGATAGTATTGCATTTATTATATCATAATTTATTTAAACAAAGACGAAACAATAATAATTTCATTATTAAATCTTTGTTAGAATTGAATATATAAATTGTAAAATTATATTTCTTTTTTATGTTTACTTCAAAATATCAATAGAAATTATTTTTATTTTTTTGAATTAATTTTTGTTTGTATAATCTTGCTTTGCATGTAATGGTTTAAAACAAAATAAACATCTCAGATTGAATAAAAAAAATTTTTAATATTTGTTAATATTATATCAATAATTATAATATTTTATCAAGTATTCTTCAAAATATAACTTACATTTTTCATTTCTTCTCCCCCTCCTTCCTGTGGAAAGATTATTTAAGTTTTATATAATATTATAAATTATAAAAACAATAATGAACATACGTATTTATATTTTCGTTTTGTTCCCCTTTTCTCTATGCCATTCGCCAATTCTAAACAACAATTTATAGCTATGCGGTCGTGTATATGCACGTAAGATTTCTAATTGATAAAATGTTCAATTTCATTATTTTTAAAAGATAATTGGCTATCAGATATAAAATATTCATCATTTTATCAAACTTTCGAAACTTTATAATTTAATAGATAAAAATTAGGCAAAAATTAAACATTATATGTTATTTCTATATATGCACATGTATAATATATATAAGCCTACAATAAATATATATTTATAAGTATACACAACCATACTGTATTAACCATAATATTAATTTTTTTCGAATTTACTTCATAACGAAAAAGTATTTTAAGTTATAAATTTTTATAGAATTTATATTTTATTCATATTAAAATACACAAAAATATTTAGAATAAGAATAAAAATATATTATTGAGGAAAACGTAAAAGTTAAATTTTATTTGTACATAAGTAGAGTAATGTATGATTATTTTAAATATATACTTACACAATTTGAACTTTGTCATTTGCAGTAAATAAAAAGTTTAATATTATTGTAATAACGTCTGTAACGTATATATTATCTTTTATATAACAAAATATAAAAATGCTAATGAGAAAATTTCATTGAAATAAAAAAAATCTTTCAGAAAATTTCTTAATAAGTCTTAAAGATATTTTATTATTTTTATAAAATTCATAATTATATATAAATACAAAAACTGATGATCCCTTAAATAACATTAGAAAATGTATACAAAATAAATGTATTGTATTGTATTATCTGTCTATTATCCAATATGTATTTATTGTTTTATTATAATAGAATTAATAAATATAGAATTTTTATTATTTACATTACTTTAAATGTAGTAGAATGTATCAAAGTATTTAACGTATTTCAATTAAATAACTTTATCTAGGTTTTTTATTGTAATTTCTTAAAAATTTTGTTTAGTTCATATTTATATAATCATTGAAACATGGCTGTTGAGATTTGTGTGATTTTAAAGCTCTTTTTATGTAATTTGTTATTTAGTTTTTAATTATATATAAAGTTGATTAATATATAAAACTGAGTAGATGTATTACGTATGTGCTAGTACCTAATAAAATTAATAGATTACTTTCTATTATAGTCTCATTATTAAGTGAAACTTAACACTTAAAAAATTATTTGTTTTATGTATTCTATTTGATAACTTGTTTCCTTATATGTAAATTAGGTTGGCTGTATGACATAACTGGTACATATGACCTTTCGTTCTACCTAGCGGGTTTCTTCATTGGCCTAAGTGGAATGATGTTGATGGTGATGCCACTGATAGACGTATATCGAAGGTTCAAGAAATCGAATGCTCGCAAACGAACCAATGACACAAGCCGCAATTTCGCCGATATCAATAATGTCTGAAAAAATATCAATGAAGCAGAAAATCAACCGGATCTGACTCGTTATGTAACAATGTCAAACATTGTTGCGCCATAACACTTTCATAAACATGAATAGCATATTGCAAGAAATGAAATCCAATTTGTGATCTTAAGGCGGTTATATTTATTTATATTACAGAAATTAAAAATTATAATAATTAAAAATAATGAACAATTTTCATTCAGAAGCTGTACCTCCTTTTTATAGAGGAACAGACGATTATTAAAAATAATTATTAAATGCATGTACTTTATCTTTCATCATCCTTTCTCTTTATATCTTATGCATATACACTATTCTCATACATACTATTCTTACTCTCTTAAATATTTTATGTATCTTTTCATAATTTTGATTCGAGTATGTAGAAATAAAGCCAAAGATATTTTCATCTATTTATTCATTGAAATAATACGTAAATTTTGTTATTCTTATTTGACTGATAATATTCAACTCAACATATATTTTGAAATTAATTAATTTGTTCATGGCAATTTATCTTGAAATATATATGTGACCACCTTATGTATTAAAAATGATTCCTTTTATGAAAGATTGAACAAAAACCGTTTTGGTTTATTTTTAAATAAAACTAAATATATTTTAGTATATTTCCTCGTAAATTTAATTGTTTCGAATTCTATTTACATAAATCTGTTGATATAATTACTATTAAAAAAAAAAACAATTTTCTAGATTTAAAAATATAATTATTATTCATAAAGTTTAAATAATTTATCTTTTCATAAATTAAAAAGTTGAATTACAATTACTATATTTGTTTGTACATTTTCAATATATACAATCAAGTTTTCTTATCAATTCTAAATATTTAAAATGATAATAAATGTTTTTAATCTTTTTTTTTTATTTCATTTTTTTTTTATTTTTTATATTTTATTATTTGTTGAGTATATTATAATGGAGATAAGTGTATTCATCACTTTTTTTTAGTTATTAAGAATTTTATTTTTATTTAAATAACTTATTCCAATATATTTATTTATATTTGTTGAAAATACTGTATGTAAAAATATTTAATTAATTGATTTAGTATAAAATATAATATTAAAGTCTTCTTTGTTTAATCAACTATTTTGTTATAAAAAAAGATTAGTACAATTATTGAAATTTCAATCACATTTTTTATTATTACTTCAAGTTATTTACATACGATTATTTATTTCGTGTTTTAATTTATTATATAATAGTAAAATTAGTACTTCAAATGATACATTATATTTGAATAAAAATTTTAAAAACACTTTAATAGTATTTTTTATAATATACGTGTGTAATAAACTTAGTTTATTTCACTTGAATAAATAATCAAATAAAAATTCTTCAAAATTAGAAATAAGATAAATATTGAATATTTCATTTATTTATTAATTTCATTTTTAATGTTTGTGACGCGTTTTTTTAACATTGTTATGTGGTTTATTTAATTAAAATATAAAATATAATATAAAAGGATTTATATTAACCAATATCTAAAAAAAATTAATATTTAATATATTATCAATTATTTTACAAAAATAATTTTAATAAATAGAATCAATGAATTTGAATTAAATGATATATTTTATTCCTTTCAAGAAATATATATACGTAATTATTATTAATAACAATAGCAACAACAAAAACAACAATAATAATAATAAAATAATAATGTAGCCTTTTAGAGTATCCACAAATCTTCCAGTGCTATTTATAAATATTAAAACTTCTGATATTTAATGTGAATTTTAATTTAGATAAAAAGAAACTTTTTTTATATATGAATTATAAATAGTGAATACATAATTAATTAAAAACAAAATCTACACTTTCAAAATGCAATGCTAATTAATTATAATAAAACGATTATAAATAGCAAAAGAGAAGAACAATAGCATTAGTACTATTGTATGATATAATATGTATAGTAAATTATAAACTAAAAATAATATATAAATATTGAAAAATCATACCTGTATATATCTTCAACTTAAGTGATTTTATTTTTTTATATTTTTCTAAATATTCAGCATTAAGTAAACATTATTTAAATTAGAACCAAAAAAATTTTTCATTAACTTTTTTAATTTCTTTACTTATTTTATATATCATAAGATTTATTTCTTACGAATGAACAAATTAAAAATTATTTTTAGTACTATAAATAATTCAATTAATAAAGATAAAGAGATTTAGCTGTTCATTGGTAATTTTGAATCACAGAATATTATTTGAATAATATTTTTAATGATGTTTTTTAATATAGTTAATTGCTGAAAGCTAAAAACATTTTTTTATATACTCTTAAATAAATATTTAACTATTTACTTTATTCCAATTTGTTTTACTTATTATTATTATTATTTATAATTATTTAATTTCATATTTGTAAGTGGTTCATTTTTAAAAGCTAATGCTTGATTTTTTATTTATTTTTTTTTAATATAAATATAAATAAAATGTGAATAATTAAAAAGAAAATAGGATTGAAATTAATTTTTTTATAACTGTAGAGTATTTATTATTGATTATGAAAAAATAAATCTAATAATGCATAATTTTATATTATATTTATATCAGTTTTATAAAATTTCACATTATTTTCACTAAGATTCTATGGTTTTCAAGTTTTAATAGAGTAGTTAATAATAAATATTATGAATATGCAATATATAATAATAGTTTGGAATTTACATTTGTTAATGTAGTGGAAAACCTAAAAGATAATGTTTATACAAGCAAATTATATGAATTATAAATAACAAAAACTAGTCGATAATGATAATCAATAATTCCAGATGAGTTACTGTAGGTTATTGTTTTATCTATTCTATGCTTGTGAATATAAATATATCAAGTAAGGTGTTTAAAGTTAAAAAAAAATCTGTATGTTTGCATTCACATATTTTTTGTAATTACTTGTCAAAATTTAAGAGAAAAAATATTGTTATTTTGTAATTTTTAAATACATATTTAATTCGTATTTATCATAAACGATGCAATCTAATAACATACTACATGAAATAATTTTTTATTTAAAATAGTTATTTATAGTTTTTAATATATGATATTTAGAATATTTAACTTATGGAATTTAATTAATTTTTTAAAATAACATTTATTTTATTGAATACTATAATTTAAAAATATAAGCAATTTATAGAAACATTTATGTAACTATATATAACTAAAATTAAGTAAAAAATACCGTTTGATAAATTTATGAAAATAATACACCCCTATTTGTCTTAAAAAAACTTAAATTATAAGAATTGATTAAGTGTTATACTAAAATATAAAAAAATATGAATAGACACAAAATTCTAGCTTTACGGTAATGATAAAAAATACCACATATTAAATTTAACGAATAAATAAAAAAAGAAGATAATAAATTCTTTCTCATAGTTTTTTGCGTGTGTAATGTTATTGTATAAATTAGCAGTTTTTCACATTTGTGTATATTATGTTGCAATATATATATATTAAATGCCTATGAATTTTTATTTTTCTATTTTAATTTTTCACTTATATAAACTAAGTTTAAAAAGGATTTTATTAACAATATATTAGTTAAAAATAATAAATATTTGTAATGGAACGTATAATATTTAAAAAATATGTATTATGCAATTTAAAAATATCAAGTATTGTTTTATAATAAATTTATGTTTGTAGATTTTCAAAAAATGCCTATTAATGAAAAATATTGTTTTATCTTCAAAAAATATATTTTATATGAATAAAATATTTTTACATTCTTGAAAAGTATAATAATTGTCAATATAATATTATTTAACTAATTAATTTTAATTAATTTAATTACAATCTTTTGTAGTTTACTAAATACAATTTTTGCTTTTGATTAATATTAGGATTATTATAATATTCATAATATTCTTGTCTAACTATCATTGTATACGTATTAATTTTTAGTATCGTAAGAACGCTATTTTACTATATTTTTACTATAAGACAATATTAAAAGAAATTAAAAAAAAAAGAATATGAAGGTTAAAAGAGAAATAAACGAAATGCTTCTGCATGGTAGGAGAACATTAATATGATTTGGAAAATTATGTACCCCTGGATTGAGGATTTATTGTATATTTTAATTTCCTATTCAATTTTTACACGTGCAATAGAGACTATTCTCTGAAAGTGTAATTTAAATCTGTATTTGCTGTTTTCAAATAAAAATAAATTTTCTAAAGGGATACACGTGTTTATATTCTTAAACGTACAATAGTAGGAGAACTTGGTAATTTATATTTCTATGTAAAATTATAAAATGATATTAACCGGTAAATTTACAAAAACAATCTTTTTATTTTGTCTGTATTTATTAATTTTAATAATAGCATTGTAATAATAGTAAATGCTTTGATTCCTTTGCAATAAATTCTTTAATCTAAAATATCAAATTTATTTTCGAGAATTAAAACATTAATTATATATCTAGTCAATGAATAAGTATTTAAATCGTATATTTCAATAGATGCTTTAATTAATCAATTGTGAATTTATCATTTAAACGAATAAAACTTTATCAATACGAAAAAATAAATATAAAAATATACATGTACATAGATGTTAAGCACTTTTTATCAATGAGAGATCAAAAATACAAATACGCTTGTATATCGAACTGTTTCTATTAAAATTCTTATTAAGAATACTATTTTGTATTTTAAAATAATAAATAAAATTTATGATAATAATTTTTTCTATTATTATTATATGTAATATTTATGGTTAATGCGATCTTTTTTAATTATTCAATTAAGTAAAACTTAAAAGTAACAACTATTTCTTATAATCCATTCGGTTAAGATATGCTGTATTTCAAGTTATAAATTAATTGAATTTAAATACTTTCTTGAAATTGAATAATTGAATAAATTGAAAACTTAAATCAATTTCAAATTATAATAAAATTTTTATGTTGCATGCATGAAGAAAAATTAAGCTTGTAGTTTTTACAACGTAGCGGTCAGTAAATACAACAAAGTAGTTCATTAATTTTTCTTTAAATTAAAAAAAGGAAAAATAAAAAACTTGCTTGCCAACCATTTTTTAAATTAAATACATATATAAATATATAAAGCATCCATATTGTTACATAATTATTTAAAGAATAATATTTTGATTAAAAAAAACATATATGTATTGATAATAAAATACATTCATGTGGATAATGAGCTCTATATTTTCCATTAAATGTACATACAACAAATACTCAAT